GCATGCTTCCGTCTCTTGACGCTGTACCTGCTGTAAATCTCCAGGACCCACGACAAACGACTTCTAGCAACCCAATTTCTTAGAGACTTCGAGCTCTATGACTGGATCCTTAGGGAGCTTTAGGGAACCTTAGGGAACCTTAGGGTTTTGGGTTTAGGGGTTTAGGGTTTAGGGTTTAGGGTTCAAGCCCTGTAAATCTCAAGCCCTATAAATCCTTAAACCCTGAGGCTCAAAGTCCTAAAATGGAAGCCCTGAACCCTGAACCCGATTCCCCTCAATGCTACTCCCAGTTGCGAGATGGAGGTTGAGACTCTAAACCCCCAAAACCAAAATCCTGCCCCCGATTTTCCTTAACCCTACAAAGTGACGAGACGACGAGATGGAGGCCTCCTCCGGGGAGATCCCTCCGTGGCACTCCGGGCAGTGCGAAATGACGCCAATGCGCTGGACCCTCTTGTGCCCGGCTTTGGGTTTCACCCTAAACCCTACTCTAAACCCCAGAGTAACATGTGGTACATGTCTGGGTGCAGCTATTATATGTGTAGTTCTCTAAATCAGGGTCCCTTCTAGATCCGTTTCTTACAAGGGTGCCGTACTAGAATTGGGAAACCTAAAAAAGTAACCCTAAACCCTAAACCCTAAACCCTAAACCCAAGAACTTCCCATATGCATGCACGTACAATCTTCAGCTCTCGCAGTCGCCAGAGGATGCCGTGACAGATCGGCTCCTATAGATACAGTCCCCCAAAGATTGCGTTTAGGGTTTCAAGTTTCGGGTTTAGGATTAAGGCTCCCAGACCTTAGTGAACCCCAGAAAGTTGGAACATGGATTTAGGATGACTAGTGCTGGGGTTCTCTGTACTTTACCTTAACCTTAAGGGCATGAGGATACTGATGTTCCATGTTTCTGGCTTCTACTGTAAGAGCCAGATGCGACGGACTAGCAAGCTCCTGGGTCTCAAGATGTCGATGACAACTCTCCTTGGACCCTAAACTGGCCCTAAACCGCAAAACGTGCATTCCTAGATCCGTAGAAATCTCCGTCTGTTTGGTTACGCGCGGTCCGTAGCATAGGAGCCGAGCCGCAGAGTAAGATTACCGAATTCTGGGTCGCGGACTTTTAGGCCTACCTAGCCCTACCTAGAATCCCAAGCCCAACAACCTTATAGTAAACCCCAAAAAGTTGGAAACCGGATTAAGGACAAATAGTGCTGGGATTCCCTAGGCATTGCTCTTAAGGATTGCGGCTATTGGGTTTCCAACTTTGGGCGTCTACTGTGATCCCAAAACACCCTAAAGCCATAAATGCCCAGCCTGAGTTGACAGGAGCCCTTATTTGTAAAACTCTGATAGAGCCCTTAAGGGGTTCCTTTGTAGAACTCTGATAGAATGCTTACTGAGAGAAGCCTTGTGAGTGTGGAATTCCCTAAACCCTAAACCCTAAACCCAAAATTCTGAAGCTCGCAGGAGTTTGCCTCGGAGGCTCTCCGCCGCGACAAAGGCAGGGCCTTAGCTCAGGGGCTGAGTCGGTAACCTTTAACCTTGTGGGGTTTAGGGTTTGGGGTTTGGGGTTCAGGGTGTATAAAGGGTTTAGGGTTTCAGGTATCAGGAGGCTGCGTTTAAGCGTTTTTGTGGTTTGGCATTCAGAATTGTTGGTGTTTTGGGTATTAAGGGCTTTGGGGTTTTAGATGCGGGGGGTTGGGCGGGGGTCATGGTTGGCTAGGGTTTCGGGTTAACTTATGTTTTTGGTTTGATGCCTTGGGCTTTTATAGTGTGAGGGTCTACACAAGGGTTTAGGGTTTAAGGCTTGGGGCTTTATGGCTCGAGTTTGAGAGCCTAGGGCTTTTGGCAGAGATTGTGACAGCTTGCACATTTGTGAACATCATCCTCGGTGCCTCTACATGCTACTCGTTGGGATGAAAGGGTTGCCTACACAGGAGGGCCTGAAACTCGGGAAGATGCAACTCCTGATGCAGGTGTCGTCCTTGAAGCTGTGACACGCAATGGCGCGATTCTTAGCGGAGCAAAGACAGGGGGGGAGGGGCTTTCAACAGGATCCACCAGAGTATGCCAACAAGACTTGCAAACCCGGTGTGAAATTACATCGCAATTTTTGCCAAAGCCTTGTTCAGACCCTGCACATAGCTGCTCGCCCCTAGCGTATCGAATGGAAAATGGGTCTCGTAGACTTCCAAGCTTTATTGTCGCTTCTCGGACAAGGGCCCATTTTTCCAGTCAAAGAGATGTGACGATTCTGGTCTTCTGCTGGAGGCTGGGCTCTTTGCTTTGCCTCAGAGGATCTGCGATGCTGCCGTGCCGCTGGGCTGGCTTCGATCAGTCCCGTGTATACATGTAAGGTTCAGAAGCCTGGTCGAGCACGGCACCCTAGACTGTAAACCACAACCTTCTGGCCGCACCGTGCCCGTCTTCTGGGAAGACTTCTGGCGCAGATATGAGATTACGCAGTCGGAGAGGTTTCTCCCGCACATGGTTCTTCCCCGCATCCATTTAAAGCTTACTCCGGTACGCTGCTACTACCGTTTCTTGTTATTGTGATCAGGGGCTTGTAACAAAACCGTATAAACCCTAAGGCCTAGTCAGCCTAATCAATAAGCTGGTATGGATCAGAGGCCTCAGATGGGATCTGGACATTTGCACTTCAACATTGAATCGAGAGTATTCGGAGTTTCACTATGAGCAGAACATCGTGTCAAAGACTGTATATGGCTCCCAACAAATCCACAATAACAACTGTAATGCTGCCAGGCGCAGGTAAACAAACCCCTTCTCAGCATGAACAGCAGAATCGCCAGGGTCATGCGAGACTTCTTCTTACGGGGCAGTGCCCGTAATGTCAGCAGGAAGCATGCTAACGAAGAAACGGAGGTTGACAGACAGACAAACAGTGCACAGGCCAGATAAAGCAACGTTTCGGCTTACCAAGATCAGTGGCGCACACACGATGGTCGGTCGCACGAATGCAGCACTTATAGGATGTAAACCAAAGCCTTGGATGCCAACACGACGCATCCCCACATCTTCCCATGCCAGGAGATTGTGATGGCTGCTGTTGGAAGCTGCTCGGCTTCAAAACTGGTCCCTGCGTATCTCCCGATCGCCCTACGACCCTTATATAACCCGGGTCCCGGGAGATCTTCTAAGCCAACTTCCTTTCCCTCCCCGATCCAGAAACCCTCAAGTGCTAGAATCATAAGCTCCCAAGCCCCCCAAAACCCCTCTACGCCGAACTCCCCTATGAACTCTACAGCCCTGCACCCTCGAAACTCCCTAAACCCTAAACCCTAAACCCTAAACCCTTACGTGCCTTGGATTTGCTTGGATGATCGGGCAGGCCCACAAAGGGGCTCAAAAAAAAATCTAAACCCTAAACCCTAAACTCCCAAAGGAGCTCTGAAACCTCTAAGCCCTAAACCCTAAACCCCCTAAACTCCAAGTCCCTAATTATAAAGTCCCAAAGGAGCTCTGAAACCTTGGAGCCCCCCCCCGGGTGTTGGACACTTCCGGCCTATTT